TTTTTTTTTTTTTTTTTTTTAAAAAACTTCTCCATCCTGCAGATCCCACAGTTTCCTGCCACAAGAACATAAACTTGTCTCCCACACATGCAAACACTAGTGAAAAATAAACTCAAGCATAAGAACTTTTCCTAATATTCTGGATTACAGAGTGGCAAGTGGGAAAATGTCTAAAAGTCAGTCATTTTCAGCAAGAGAGTAGGAATCGGCATTTTAAGGATCTCTAAGATCTTTAGCCGTAATCTTCACTGCCTGCTCTCCTCTATGGACAGTACTGTGGGTTCTGCTCCAGCCACACAGCATCAGCCCAACAGTTCCCCTCACCTGGCCGAGGCTAGAATGCTGCAGCAGACCCAAGGAGAGGTCACAGCCTTTCCCATGGCCTATATCAGAGAAATTCACACCTAATCCGCTAGATCTAAACTTTTTTGGATCTTGAACCTTGTGAGAATCTGATAAAAGGTCATCCCCCCCACTCCCACAAAAAATACACATTTAAACAAATAAAGACATTTTGCATGGAATTTCAGGGGCAACATCTAAGGCCCATTCATAGGACTGGCCAAGAGCCAGGGATCACGCAGTAGAGCACTTACTTTTAAAATACTTCAGAGAAAATTTTTGGCTCTCCCTCTATGTATTTGTAGTCCCAGTTCTCTAAAAACTAAACTAAAAGATCTTTGTATTAGAAAAAGGAGGCACTTAAGAGCTGAGTTAGGGCAGGCAAAAAGTTAGAAGAAATCACTCACTCTAGATACTCTTAATGAGTACACAAAAGTCTCAAATAAAAGAAAAAGGAAAAAAATATTTCCCTATCAACTGAGTGTAGGCCTTCTTTTAGTCTAAAGTCACTCCTGCTCATCTCTCCTCTTTTTCCATGTGCTGACAAACTGAACTGTGATATGACAGTAGGCCTGTGGCTCAGCGAGCCGTTGCATGAGTCTCCTCAACCACAGCAAAGCTGGCTGTTGCTACCTGTGGCTCCGCTGGTCTCTGCAGGGCGGGATGCACAGACTCGGAGTTGCCATTGGAAAAAGACTCTGATCGGGAAGGCACTGGTGGCTCCAATACTCTGCCTGTCTGCTTAGACTGCGCTTCAGGGGAGCTGTGGTTAGTTTTCCTAAATCTATCTTCCACCTGCATCAGAGAATTAGAAGACATAACTCAGTGTTAGTAGGGGAAAAGCAGAAATATCAAAGAAAGTCTAAAAGTGGAAGAACTCTAAAGATAGGTTTTCTGTTTTCTTCTGCCACAAGAAAAGAGAGGGGCAGCTGGAAAAAAGAAGGTAGATAAAGCAGTGCTAGGATTAGATTCAGGAAAAAGAAAATATTTGTGAAGATAAAAATTAGCAGGGCAGTCTCTAAGCTCTCCTCCTTGCTCAGAATTCTAAGACTGTATATGATGATAAAGTAGAAAAATGTAATCTGTCATAAGCAACTAAACTAACAGACGAAAAAACTATCATCAGAAATCCAGAATGCTTTTCACTCCACCAAAAATAAGAGCACTCCAGAACAAACAGAACACTTGTTTCTAGAAGCTACTGCCTATGAAGGCAGACACAATAGAAGGCTGCCGCCACCGGTGGGCCAGGATTCAGTACCTCTGGAGGCACACCTGTCACCCACCTCGCACCCCCAAGCAGTCCCTGCTGCAGCCTACTCTGAGGCTCTGGCTAGCCCTAACACACCAATCTAGCAGTGCATCTTGACATCTGCAAAGTCAGAAAGTTAAGCCACAGGCACTCTTTAGCTTGGGAGAATAGTTCATCAGACCACTCTTTCATCCACATTTTTAAGAATGACTGTGTCATGTAATCTTCTTTTTGTTTAGTTCAGTTTCAAGTTCTTCTGGTATATGTTAACTGAGGCACTCTGGTCCTTTATGGAAAAAGCACTGACTGGATATGAAACCTTGGGCAAGGCCCTCCACTCCTCTGAAACTCAATGTCCGAGTTAGAAAACGAAGAAACTAGATAACCAGCTAACCTCTACGGCCCGTTCTAGAATTCATATGACACAGTTCTGAAGAGTCATTGTACTGCTTTCCAGAGCAATGTCTAAGTGACAAAGGAAAGAGGATACCTCTCGCGCTCGGTCGGCAGGCTCGTAGTGGACTTTGGGCTCGGGAGCGTGGAAGCTTGGCTTGCTCCTTTCCTGCTGCGGTGGTGGCGGCTGCTGCGAGTGCTGCGGGTGCGGCCTCCTATGGTCATGCTGTAGAGACAGGAGATATGCTTGTTCTTGTTGCAACTGCCTCTGGAGCCTCTCTGCCTGCCGGTGCTCCTCCATCTCCCGCCATCGGCACTCCTTGGAGAGGGAGAGGATAACACTAAATCTATGGGACACTGGAGAGCTCGCCTCTTCTCTGGATTTGTTTGGCTTTTTAAAAAAGTGACCATACATTTTCCCTCAGTGTTTTGTAAGAAAGCAAAATAGCTGGGATTTTAAATAGCACATTACCTGTGGAAAAATCTCACAGCTGTTGCTAACCATAATTATCATTGGACAGAGTAAGAGATAATTCAATTAAATGTGAGTTTTAGTGGTATAGATACTAGGTAAAAATTCTGTGGCATGTACTTTCAACCTACTGCCCTCAGCATTCTAGTGTGTTCACTGAGTGCCAAGTTCTGTTTAAAACTTTGTTGATCTACCAAACAAGAACAATTAATTTCTTAAAGAGAAATAAATAAACAAAGACCATGTTGCAATGTGCCACCAATAGGACCATAAAATGGGCATCTCTATTTCAGCCTGGCTGCCCACAGCAAAACCAAAATGGTCTGGTGACCACCACAGCTTGCTCGACTTAGGGGAAGGATGAAGGAGCCCTGATGCTACAGAATGAAACAGAGGCGGGGCTTTACCAGTAACATGGCCTGCTCCTGGAGCAGCTGCTGCTGGAGGACTTCCAAGTGCCGCTGCTCCTCTTCTAGCTGTCGCCTGATATACTCCTGTCACACAGAAATCACCCAGCAATCAATTTATCCCAAAGAAAAGCATCAGAACCACCTGAATGGAGCACCAAGAACCATTTGCTCCAATCATCTTTAGTGACAATTCACTTAGTGGTAAATACCTAAAGAAAATCTATTGCTAAAGATTTCTCCAAGAACTTCAAATTGGCCAGTAAGACCTAAGGAGCCTAACAAATGATGATATGTATTTCCATGATATACATGAAGGGGTCTAAAAGTATTTCTGTTAGAACACAGCTGTTGCATACAAATGCAGAATTTTAAAAGAGTATGCCATTCCTCTTAAGGTTGGTAAACCCCAGAGAAATCAAGAGTTTAATGAAAAAGGATCAGAGGGTTCTGATTAGTAAACATCTGCTTATTAAGTCATTATTTATAACAAGCACAGATCACCAATTTTTGAAACCTAAAACCAAAACCTGCTTAATATTAAAATACAACAAACATGATTCACGCTTTCACTGACAATTCCAAAGCCACCTGGAATGACTATATTCCAGACTTGGGCAACTGTCCTCAAACGAACAGACCCAGGCTCCATGATGAGCTTGTGTGTGTGTGACAGAGACAGACAGAGACAGACAAGGACAAGGGGAGAGAAAGAGAGGAGGAGGTGGAGATGGGGTGGTTTTTCTTTTCAATGAGAAGAGAATGATTAGTCTTCATAACAATGAACACAGGTAAACACATCCCAAATATGTTATGGATGTTACCTACTTCGAAGCTGCATGCATATTATAAAGGGCAGGGATACCAGGAGGCCCCAGTCCCTGTTTCATTGAGAACTGGCTCTACGATCTCTAGCATGCACTAAAGCTCCCCTTCTCTCAGTCTCCTCATTTGAGAAATGAGCATCCAAAATCTCCTCTCCCAACCCTCAGGAATTTTTTTAAGGTTCAGACATGAGATCGATATGAAATAACCTTGAAAAGCATAAAACATTTTACAAGCAACAGAGGCCTCCTTTTTTTCTAGAAGAGGAATAGACTAAGAAGTACTCTGAGGAGACATTTTATCCTGAAGTTCAGATTCCCTTTTCAGAGTGTCTCCTGCTGACATCCCCTTGTGTCATGGTGCACACCTTGAAACAAAAATAGCCATCAATATGGGCTGAACAGAAGTTTTAGTTAACCAATATCTCTGGGAGAATACTGAAATAACAGCATATAAAAATCCTAAGAAATCCTTACTTTACAAAGAAAACTGAGTCAAAAAAGCCAACTGAGGGGGTGTGGGCAGTGGGCAGGGAAGGGGGAGGTGGACTTACTCAGAAGGCCACTGACTAACATATCTGGTTCTGACCTGGGATCTACATCTCTTGTGTCTACGCCTGACCCTCCCTGGTATATGCTACAGCAATACCTCTCCTAGCAAGGCTTGTGTGGCCTTGACCCATGTGTGACTGAGCAAAGGAACCTGACTTCCAACTCATTTTCGTTTTTGAACAAAACAGAATTAAATCGTCACTTGAAAGATCAAATCAGTACACTCATTTGTTTTCTGCCCTCAAACCACAGGGACAACTGGAAAAATCATGTCCTCTCCAAACCACAAAGCTCCTAACACATAGTCAATGAACATACGCAACACAACACACATCTACACAAACATAAACGCTTATGCTGAAATGAAGTGTGTCCAACAGCACTGTTAACATGGGAATTACTATTTCACAATAGAATGGGGAAAACAGAATAAAACCAATTTTAGAATTTTTTTTTTAAGTGGTGCCAAATACTTGCTATTCACAAAATTTAATGACTGCCACTAGAGCATTAAAGATGAATTGCTGCCATCACACCCTCCTCTCACAATCGAACTGTAATCATTATTTCTAGGTGATTCAATTCTTAAAAGCTTGAGTGTTTTCCTCTTTGCAGCCCCCAGGTATAAACAAAAGTGGAATGTTAAAGCACACGCGCTACACAGTTAAATGGTTGACAATGTCAATTAGGTAGCACAAAAAGCGTCACTGAAATTCCCGGGAAAACACTGAGGAGCACGCAGACCCAAGGCTCAGAAAGCCCAAGACACATGCTTAGCATAAAGGATGGCAGCTGAACAGTCACATTTGAAAGTTAACACCATGGTTTATAAGTTTAAAATACAGATACCAAGTGTTATTTAAATTGGTCCTCATGTATCATTTTTTCTTTATTCCAAGCTCATAACAAAGAGATCAAAGACAAGAAAGGCAAAGAGGCTAAGGGCAATTTTTGTTTGCACAGGTGGTTCAGGAAACAAACAAAAAAAAAATTCTAAATAAAATCATATCTGGTATTAATAAAATGCTGCAAATATTATTCAAACCTGATCTTTTTTGGTTGAACTCATCAATGTTAGTTTTTTTAATGCACTGTGTATATACGGAATTACATGCTGATATATATTACAATATTCACTTAGCCACTGGATATTCAAATATTTCTCATAACAAATTTCTTACTGTTGGTTTTTAATTTCTTTTTTTTTTAAAAAAGTTAATTATCACCCATATATTTGGGGTCCACAGCATTTAAGTCAAATCTGAGAAGATACATGCAGACGTCTTTCAGATATTATACTATTTAGAGACCACTTAACTGGTTTCAAGAGGTTTCTAAAGTATAATGATTTATAAACCCTTTTTAGGATAAGAGGCCCAATTTATTGGTGTCATTCCAATTGTGTTTCACCACGTTCATACATCTGAAGTTCTAAGTATATGTGTATGTGTGTACATGTGTGTATGCATCACATGTGTGTGTACTTTCTAAATATCCCCAGCTCTGCAAAGTAACAAACTTCACAAATGAATGCCTGGTATGTTCTCTGTGAACTAACCTGTTCTCTTTCAACTCTCCTCTTTTCTTCTTCTGCCCGTCTCCTCTCTTCTTCTTCTTTGCGCCTTCTCTCCAACTCCTCTAGACGCCTCTTTTCTTCTTGTTCTCTCCTTCGCTGTTCACGTTCCTGCTGCCTTCTAGCTTCACGCTCTCTCCTTTGTTGCTATGTAAGTAAAAATGTATAATTACCAGGGATCTTCCTGCCATCTTTCTCATGATGTTATCGTGTGCTGCTCAGTCAGTCACAGGTGGACACTAACGAGGTGAGGTTCATGGGCCCCATAGCTACCAGCCAATTATTTCCACACTGCCCCTCGCACCCATAAGTAAGGGCTTCCTCATGAATTTTCATCAAAAGTATTGTGATTCTGTGAATCCTTACAGGGTTTAGTTTCATTTTGATAATAATTATTCCCCACTGCTCACTGCACCACAGCAATTAGGGGACAGAAAATTCTTTATTCTTGGATATCATTAACAGGATTATGCAAGACCCTTAAGTAAGAAGAAAAATACATTGAGAGAAAGAAATAAAAGGAAATAAAAATCCAGCAAAGAAAGAAAGACAATTTAAAAAAGGAAAAAAAGCAGCACACATCAGGAAAAGAGGAACTGACATCAGAATAACTATGACCATTATCATTAATACAAATATTTCAGAAACTGCCACTGAGCAAATGCTTACTACTATGTGCCTGGCACTACACTAAGTATTTGATATTTCTATTCCATTTATTTTACCTCATGTAAGTCTCCTAACAACCCAAGGAAGTCATTATTTCATCCCTGCTTTACAGATGCGAAAACAGCTTCAGAAAAGGTAAGTGACTTGCCCAAAGTCACAGAGCCAGCAAGCCCCCAGCTGGAAGAGCTGCTCTGCCTCTACAGCTCATACATACTCTTAACCACACTCTACCCTGCAGCCCATCAACAGGTGTAAAAGATGCTACTGAATTACCAGACTCACTCAGCCTTTCTAAAGCCAGACTGTTCTATGTAACCCTACAGTACAGAGCAAGATGACACACCGGGCACTGGATGACAACTCACTCTTCCAGCCCAAGGCTGTCTGCCAGTAAAGCACAAGTTAGACTCTGGACTCTCTGGGTAATAAAAATGTTCTGTCTCTGCACTGCTCCATAGTCACTAGTCACATGTTGCTAATGAGCACCTGAAATACAGCTAGTATGAATGAAAAACTGAGTTTTTTATTTTGTCACACTGAATTTAAATTTAAATGGCCAAACGTGGCTAGTGGCTACTGGATAGCAACAGCTCTAGAGGACGCACAGCCATCAAATTTCCCAGACAGAGAGAGCCAATAATATTAACACAAACTTTATTTGTGACACTAAAGTTAACCATTAAACAAGAAAGTTTACGGTAAAGCTATCAGGGATACTAGACATATTGATAATGGATATACAAAGTACACATTTATTATAGTTTAAGTATTCCTTCTGGGTCTTCTCCCCACTCTCAACTAGTATTTAATCTGAAAGCCGACACTTAAAAATGATGCCCTGGGAAATGTAAAGTAGTATCTTTCATCTGGAATAACTGGATAGCAACGATGATTTGGGTACTCCAGTCTCTCTCACTTGACTACTATACCCCCATTATTCTCAACAAAGTTCTGAGTCTGCTTCTGGTCCCGCCTCTCTTATTACATAGGTTTTTCAATGGGAGAATCTTCTTTTCCCCTATTCTCTGCTCTTCGAATTCAATACACAAAACTCATCAGCCTCCCATGGGTGGAGATGGGGTCATAAAATGAATAGTGCTCCTGCTCTAGCGTCTAAAACCTACAACTTTAATGGTTATGCCATCTTTATTTATCAAGGTGTTATTACTTATCTCACTTTTTGTTTGTTCCACTGGATTTCTATGGACCTATCACAAATAATCTACAAAGTCTCTTGCACTACCATAACACTCCTTTCAACACGGTTAAAGAAATCAGGTATTTTTTCTATATTCTTGGACACTGACTGTTTTCCAGTCATCCTATATTTCTGTCCACAAACTTCCTGGGAATCCTTGTCATCTTCTTTCTTACTTTGCTGGAACACATCCTCCAGCAGCTTCTTAAAAGAGAGAAGAAGAGGTAAAACAAAACAAAGCAAAACAAAAACAAAACAAAACAAAACAACTTTGCAAAGTTGTTATTTCCCCTAACACGTTACACACAATTTCGGCTGAAGAAAATTAACATTCCCTCCGAGTTTCGAAGGCATTGCTATGCCACCTTCTAGTTTCTGATGTTGCGCCTAGAGATTCTGAGACCATTCAGATTCTTGATACTTAGTATGGACCCATTCCACACTCTACCTGCTCCCAACTTCAGCTTCTAGGATCCTCTTTTCATCCTCAATATTCTAAAGATGATGATGTATGTATATATGTATGTGCACATACACAATAATATATGTGCCTTTGTGTGAACCTTTTTTAATCATGTGCTGGGTATTCAGTGAGGCTTTCAATCCAGAAACTCGTATTTCTTAGTTCTGGAAATTTTGCTTAAATTATTCCTGTATGTTCTTCCTATAGTATTCACTTCCTAGAACATCTATTAAATAGAAGTTGGACATCCTGGATTGACTCTGTAAGTTTTCCTTTTGTCCTATTATCCACCAGCTTTTGTCTTTTCTCCCTCACTTTCTGGGAGTGTTAATTTAAATTTTAAAAACTCAAGAATTCCTTCTTAATTTCTGAGTATTCTTTTTCCATAAATATAGTATCTTCTCTTTCCAAGGATAAGGTCTTGTGTCTGTTCATGTGTATATGTAAATACGTATGAGATGCTTTGCTCTGTTCCCTGTCTCTATATCCTTCGAGTTCTTTTTCCTATTTGTTTCAAAATCTTTCATGTTAGAGATTTTCCTCAGTGTCTGGTAATCTTGGCTGTCCATTTACATTTAAGATCCGAAAAAGCAAACTATAAGGACAGTATAGACAAAGAGCACCTGGCAACTACTTAGCAATAGAGTAAGGTGATTATGATTCACCCTGATCACTTCACTGGGGCCTTACTTCCTTTGGGCTGGTCAGTTATCTCCAGAGAGAAATCGTCACAATATTCTGGGAATCCTTCTAATATCCTACGGCATTGAGGAAAGGGTGTATGAAAAAGAGATAGCATTTGTAGTAAGCGTGTCTGCCAGCATTTTGGGAGCTGAGTGAAGTGAGCACGCTGCAGTCACACTGATTAGTATTCACATTTTCACTTAATGCCCTTGTTTTAGTTCATCTTTCACCACATACTCAGTGTTTTCCATGTTCCCAGTCTTTGTTGTTCACTTTTCCCAGGCAGCAGGTATCTGCTCCTGCTGGGGGCAGGGGATGCTCAGTAGACGAGCTGCACAGGACAGGGTAGTCTAACTGTGCATGTTCGTAAGTGTGCAAACTCACTCTGTATATATGTACATATATGTCAACATAATTACATTTTATTCAATTAATAAAAATGTATAAATTTAATTCAAAATATACTATCAAAGAAAAAATAGCAAGCAAACATCTTACAAACAGGATATGCTGTATAAAAAGTTCAACTGTCAACTGAAACCTTCTGAGAGGCTTTTTAATTTTTAATTTCAGGTGATAATACCATACCTTCGGTTACTAGATCAACTTAAAAGAGACTGCAAACGTCTTGAAAGCAGGAACCATGTAATTATCTCTTTTTTCCCCCTGTAGTAAATATCACACATTACCTTCAGAAGAGAAATTCAATATTTTTTTTATTTGAATCTAACCTTTATACCTAGCATATGACATCCAAAACAGAAACTGCTGTGAATTTACCCAACACTTAGCATTTAGAGAGATGACAGACTCAGGAATCCATTCAGGTCTCTAGGTCCTATGAAATCCAATCAAATCCTAAGGCAATCTTTTCAAGATCACCAAGTAAGAGCACAAAGTCTTGAGCTTTAATTATTACACTAGGTAGAGCCTCATACTTTAAAAAAACAAAACAACAACAACAACAACATCAAAACACACCTCCTTTATGCCTCCAGATATCGTAAAAGGTCCTCTAAAGTACTCACTCTAAGGCACCTCTGGTGCTCAAATGAGAGATCTCAAGCCCAAGGGTTCATTTTCACATAGGCTTAAATTTCAATGAGCCCTTCTTTTCCAGAGATACAAAGACTACAAACAACTAATCCATCTCTTTGAGAAATACTTATTAAGCACCACAGATACACAAAGATGAATTAGAAACTGCTTCTTTCCTCCAAATCTTGCAGGTCAGGTAAGTTACGTACCTTTAAAAAAAAAAAAAAAAAAAAACCCAGAAGACAGTGTGGAAAGTGATAAATCTCCCAACACTATCCCACTAAGCAAGTCCTGGTTAGTGGGACCAAATAGTTAAGAACAATAGCTAAGGCAAAAAAAAAAAAAAAAAAAAAAAAGTACAGTTACCAACTTCTCTTCCACCTTATATTCTAATAGTTGAAGTGGTAAACTAGATTGAGAGCAAGAATTTAAAGTACCAACCATAAAAACCACTACATTCAGAATAGGCCCTCAATTTGGAGGTAATTGGGGGCAATAAGAGGAATCATTAAAAAATAAGAAAGCCCTTAATATCTTAATAGGTAATGTGAAAAGCTGGCCTCTTGCATTAGAACTTCAAAAGAAAATATCAAAAACTGAAACATACACACTATCAACAAAATAACATCAGTCTGTACTATTAACCTTATGCCTATGATTGCAAATAATAAAGCCCAGGGAATTTTAATGAACATGCTTCTTCAGGCTTACCCAACTAAGAATGATAAACACTACATAGTCTTTTGAAGCTTTTACAAACTGATGTAATTTATTTTCTTAAACTATCTTTTCTTTAAAAACAAAATAGAAACAGATAGAAAAACTGTGTGATGCCCTAACGTGATCACCAAATCTCTCAAACTATACAGATTTTATTACTTAAATTTTCCCAAGCGTGCCTAAGTAAATATGTACTTTTCCAACTAAGCTTTAATTATCTAAGTTCCTATTCTAGTTTGCTATTTAAAAGCAAAGCTTTCATCTCACAATTCTAAAAACTTTTCTAAATAAAATTACACTAATAATAGTGAGATCTATTTAAATATACTCCACTGGATTTATTGGCTTCAATGGAAACTAATATATTTTGATAAA